CTTTAATGGATTCTTGCCACGTTGGGCGCCAGATATAGATGTAACCAACCGTCTTATCAAACAAGAAACACAGAAACAATGCAAAAGAGAAAGCCGAGAGGTCAGAGCTCAGAGCCAAAATCTCACCCTTCCGCCTGCGGTGTCCCAGCCTCCCGAATGAGGGATCTCTTTCCTGTATTTTGTTCTGCCTTCTCATTGGTTGCAAACCCAAACACGGGACTGCCTCGTCGCTGTCTGAATGCACAGCCCCCTAGGTCTTAAAGGCATATGTCTCCAATGCTGGCTATATCCCTGAACACACAGATATCTATGGGATTAAAGGCGTGTGCCACCACCGCCACACTCTTGCTATGGCTCTAATAGCTCTGACCCCCGGGCAACTTTATTTATTAACATACAATCAAAATAATATCTCAGTACAATTAGATTACCACCACAACGATGTTTCAGTGGATGGGGCTCAAAAGAGCAGCAGAATCTGAAAGCTTTTCAATCTTTCTTTTTTTTTATTTTTTTTTATTTTTTATTTTTTATTTTTTATTTATTTTTTTTTTTGGTTTTTCGAGACAGGGTTTCTCTATGTAGCTTTGCGCCTTTCCTGGAACTCACTCTGTAGCCCAGGCTGGCCTCGAACTCACAGAGATCCGCCTACCTCTGCCTCCCAAGTGCTGGGATTAAAGGCGTGCGCCACCACCGCCGGGCCGCTTTTCAATCTTTCTAAAGAAGCTGATGATGTTGGTCAATGTCTCGTCAGAATGTAAATGAAGAAGGTGAGAAGTCCAGGACCAGCACACCCAAGACTCAGCATCCTGTTACTCCATGCGTCCTGACACAGACGGTGATGTTCTGGAGAAACAGTGCACTGAGGAAAGTGAGGACAAGCCTGCAGAAGAGCTTAAACTTTTGGCCAAGTGAGTGAAGGAAGCCTAAGAAAAAATGCCAGGAGCAGATCCACAGGAGATGCAGGCTGTCTCCACTGAACGCTTCCATTTAGATATATTCGTTTTAAATGGGTCTTTAGAAGTAACACATAAGTGATTAGACCTTCAAAAAATACCTGTACTGGGCCAGCCAGATGCTCAGTGGGTAAAGGCGCTTGCCTCCCGGTGTGCCTTCCCTGGACCTTCATGGTGGACAAAGAGAACAGACTCCAGCCTGTTGTCCTGTGGCTTCCACACATGAGCTATGGCTCTCACACATACACACACAACAAGTAAATAGATTTATGCCACCTTAATATAAGAAGATAGAAAAGATGTTTATTAAACCCCAGCTCTACTAGTCCACAATTGTTTTCTGCACCAAAGCCTTAGATCCCAATTTGGCCTGAGTAAAGGATTAGGGGGTGCTACTCAGCGAGCTGTGGGTGAGGGGATGGAGTTCTGTGTCCAACCCTGTGCCCTGTCATGATGTGACAAATACCTGATGGGAAGCCACTTAGGGAAGAGATAGGTGTCAGGTCTTCAGAAAGAGAGTGGGGCCCACCTCTGTTCACAGTGGCGAGAGATGGCCTGCTCATGTCCTGGTCAGGAAACAGGAAGGGGGACTCCAGTGCGCTGCTGCCTTTCTCCTGAGACTCCAGCTGATGACTGGGCCACCTTACAGTTAAAGCGTCTCTTTCCTCCTCAGTTAAACCTGGCTAGAAACACCCTCACAGACACACCCAGGGGGTGGCTCCTAGGCGATTCTAAGTTCAGTCAAGTTGACCATGAAGATGTCTGATGGGAATCAAAACAAAAGATTCCATTCTGAGCCAGGTGGTGGCGTCGCATGCCTTTAATCCCAGCCCGTGGGAGGCAGAGGCAGGTGGATCTTCCTGAGTTGGAGGCTAGCCTTGTCTATAGAGTGAGTTCTAGGACAGCCAGGATTGTTTCACAGAGAAACCCTGTCCAAAAAACAAAAACAAACAAACAAACAAATAAATAAAATTAAAATAAATAAAGATTCCATTCTGCAGAAGCTGTTCCAGGAGCTTCCAAAAAGTAGAAGGTGGAGAAGTGTGGATCCCTGAGGGAGGAGACTAAGCAAAGGTCTCTGAGAGCCACAGGGAGACAACACCAGCAGAGTGGTTGGAGGACAGGCAGATACCTTTTTAGAATGACAAATCGATTGGTCTACAATGTCTGGTGTGGCCTGCATGATCCTCATAGTGCTCAGTCCTCCAAAACCGAGGCGTCGTCTCCTACAAGATTCAGAGCACACTCAGGTTGGTCATGATAAAGTGGTGACTCCAATGTCCAGGTCCACAGACTCTGCAGCCCCGTCCTGTGTCCTCTGTCTTACCCCGTGTCTCACTCACCTCATCATCCACAGCAGTCTCGCGAGAGTCTTGGCGACTGTCCCTGCCTAGGAAAGAAGAAAGCAGGACCTGGTCAGGCTTCAGAGGCTTGAGGCGGAAGGTGGGACTTAGAACTAGGGGCCTGGTGAGCTCTCATGGCCCCGAGGGTCACAGAGACCACTCCTCACCACACTTACTTGCTTCCTGAGTGGTGCTCCTTTCTCTCCCACCTGAGAAAAGAAAACCATGTATGGGTGGCATGGGAGCAGGCAGTTATGAGGGCCTAGTCCAGTGGTTCTCAGCCTTCCTAATGCTGGGACCCTTTAACACAGTTCCTCATGTGGTGGTGACCCTCAACCAGAAAATTATTTTCTTGCTACTAGTAACTGTAATTTTGCTACTGTTATGAATCATAATGTAAATCTGATATGCAGGATATCTGATGTGCATCCTCCAAAGGGGTTGTTACCCACAGGTGGAGTGAGAATCACTGGCCTAGAGGCAGCCCCTTAGTCCTGAGCCCAAGGGAGATTTCCAGAACTGAGGTGATGTAATACCTTCCTGGAGTTTTGTTCTCAGTGAGACCTCTGCCTGTGACAGCTGGGCATGAGGTCTCAGTCACCAGAACCATCCCCAAGCAAAAACTTCCCATCAGTCTCCTCTGCTTTTAAAGGTTCAACAAAAAACGTCCCAGACTAAGCAGACAGGGATGTGGGAAATACATCCCATTACCTAAGCAGGGCACACCACTACCTATGGCCTGACACCCTCAGTGAGACAGGAAAACTCAGAGCGCATCTCTTCTCTACCTTTATCCTTCTTCATATGCATGATGAAGATGAAGAAGATAGAGACACTGACGACGACGACGACGACGACGACGACGACGATGGACGACGACGACTACAACGATGACGACGACGATGACGACGATGACGATGTTGATTAAAATCCTGATTAAGGCATTCCTGCTGAATTTCTGGTACAAAGTAGGCTCTGGGAAAGGGAGGGGAAATGAGGACCACCCAGCTCTCAGTGCTGACCCTGTTCAGGGTCCCCAGAAGAGCTAGGGCTTACTAGGACCCCAGTTCTGCACCCACACCCTCCTTACCCCATCTCAGAGTCAGGGGCTCAGTCAGCCCCTCATGGACCACATGACATGTGTATCTCTGCTCCTCCCCAGAAGGCACCACCACAGCTGCCCACTTCTGGAAGGTTCCATCCCCAGAAGGTCTGGTCTCTACAAACTCCATTTCCTGAGTCAAGTCTTCCCCATCCAACTGCCAGGTTAAGAAGATCTCAGCAGGGTAGAAGGCCAGGGCCCAGCATCTCAGGGTAACATCTCCTTTCTGTATGCAGTGATGGGTCACATGTGTCTTTGGTGGGTCTGAGGTAAAGATTTGGGAAGATGAGGCATCTTGCTTTCTTCTGGGGACTCAGCAGTGTTCATGTGACCATTCTGGGAATGGACAGGAGAACTGAGGTGGGATTAGGAGGTCCATATATTAATAGACCCCAGCTAGAGTACACACAGGCACTGGGGTATCTGTTCTTTGGGGTGGTCTAGGATGTGAGTGTGACAGTATAAGGTAGGAGGCCTCAGGGCTCTGCAGACTGATGGAGGGGAAGGGCTTCTGGTCCTGAGCTGAGTGAGGGCCACGAGACTCAGAAAAGCTGGAGTCAGACTCCAGAGACACTGAGTGTGGGGCACAGAAGAAGGCCTGAGAGAAAATCCCCCGTGTGTCCAGGGCCATAGTCAAGGCTGACCTTCTGTAAAAGAATGAGTCTCTGTATGGGAAAAGCAGCCTGGAGTCTCCCTCTCCTTATTCCTCAGCCCAGTGCCTGCTGGACAGCGTTCTTCCTAGAAAGTGCCCCAAGCCTTTCCTCCACACTACCTAGGAAAAGCAGGGAGGGATCACTAGGTACCTGAGTGCAGCAGGGTGGCTTTCCCTAACTCCAAGTATTTCTTCAGCCACTCTATGCAAAGGCCCAGCAGGTACGCCCTCTGGTGGTGGGCCTCGCCCACGTCCTCTAAATTGCGCTTAGAGATCTGTGAGGCCAAGTCCTTTGTGGTCCAGGAGCGCAGGTCGTCATTCAGGGCGATGTAATCCCGGCCATCATAGGCCTCCTGACAGTACCCGCGGAGCAGGCGGCCATCCGGCCCCAGGTCGCAGCCGTACATCCACTGCAGAGTGTGAGGGTCTGTGGGGGACACGGTGGTCAGCGCCACCTAACGGCCACCCCCAAACCCCCACCCTGGCTCTTAGTCCATAATTGACCTTTTCAAAACAACAACAACAACAACAACAACAACAACAACAACAACAACAACAAAACTTTACAATGGAAACCGAAACCAAACTCTTCGGGTGTTTCCTGTTTGAGGATCTTGGCAGGTGTTTGAATGAAACTTCCACCCAGCAGGCCTGGATGACCCAGGCGCGTCCCAGGGCCACCCCCCCCCCCCTCCGATCACAGAAAGGTGGAGTCTGTGATTGGTCAGTGGTCACTCACCATTTTCACTCTGGTTGTAGTAGTGGAGCAGGGTCTGAAGGTTTAATTTGAAGTTCTTCCCTGTGTTCCTGGCTTTTCGTGTCTCCTCCTCCCAATACTCCGGCCCCTCCTGCTCCACCCATGGCGCCCGCGGTTCTACCCTCAGAGTCTCCGAGTCGCTGTCGAAGTGCACGAACTGCGTGTCGTCCACGTAGCCGACGATGATGTACCGGGGCTCCCCGAGGCCGGGCCGGGACACGGCGGTGTGGAAATACCGCAGCGAGTGCGAGCCTGGGGGCGGCGCGCGGTGAGACCCCGGAACCTAGTCCCGGCCCAGGGTTCCCGGTGAAGGCAGGGGAGACACCCGCCAGGGCAGCTAAGGTGAGCTGACGAGGTACCGCCCCCACCCGGCGCCCTGCTCCTTCCCGCAGAGTCCCTTTCGCTCCCCACCCCTCACTCACTAGCCTGGGTCTGGATCAGAACTGTGGTCAGCAGCGTGAGCCAAGAAGCAGAAGACATGGTCCTCACTCGTGGGGCCTGTGGACCTTGTTCCTGTTGACTGTGGAACTTTCAGCCTCCTTGTCGCTGATTGGCTTCTGTAGAAACAAGGTGTCCAATAGGAATGAGAATCGTGAGTGCATCATTGGTGTCCACAGAGAAGAACCTGATCAGGGTTGAGAGACAAATTGAAACTGTGCATATGGACAACCAGTGCTGGGCACCACCCTGGCGTCTTTATTAAAGAAAATGCTGTAAGAGCCATGACATGACCTGGGACTTTAATCGGTCCCCTGTCCTCTGGCTCTTATAACTCTTGGGCAGCCATGCATGCCCTGGATAGTGTGCCCCGCCTGGGACTCAGCCCGGCCAACCCGCAGGAACAGTCCCCACACCTAAAGCAAAACTCAGACTCTCACAGCGCATCCCTCGGCCTCCTGCGGACTCTCGAACACTGGGGTCAGGGGAGATTCGGGTCGTCCGTGGGATCGTGAGGGGTCGTGACCTCCGATTGGGGAGACACTCACTGTCCTGACTCTGGTGGTAGAGGTGGAGCAGGTTCCGAAGTCACGTTGGGAAATTCTGTGTGTGCTCCTTGAATATCCGCGTCTGGCGCTCCCAGTACTCCGGCCCCTCCTGCTCCACCCACTGAACAGGCAGCCTGGCTCTCAGAGTTTCAGCTTTGCCGTCGAAGCTCAGGAACTAGGAGTTGTCCGAGTTGTCCCCGTAGCCAATGGCAATGTACCGGGTCTTCCTGAGGCCAGGCCGGAACTCTATGGTGTAGAAAAACCGTGGCGAGTGGGAGCCTGGGGGCGGCGCGTGGTGAGATCCCAACCCTCCTCCGGGGACCCCTGGCAGTTGCGCGGGCCGGGAGGGGAGCAGGGCGCAGGGGCTCTGGACGCGGTGGAAAAGTGGTGGGAGGTTCTGGTTGGACCACTTGGGGACCCAGCTTGCAGCTTGCTCAGTTTCTCCCCCACCTCTCCCTGAAGAGACTGGTTCCCTCCAGATCTTGTACTCATCTGCCTGGGTCTTGGCGGAGCCTAGGGTAGCAGCCAGCAGCACCCTGAGGATGCTGAGGACGGGAGTCCTGGTCTTTAGGGTTCGCCAGAGTCAAAGCACAGTCGATATGGTCCCGGACTTTGTAACTTGTCCTCACAGAGATTTCTATCACGTTCTCTAGCCACTGACAGAGTATGAAGTGAAACCAAAAGTCTACACTTCCCAGCCCAAACCTTACATTCAGTTCTCAGAGCGTGAAAGCCACTTCTGAGAACTTGGGACTGTATCCTACCTCCTTCCTCAGCACGAGCTCTGTGTATAACACTGTCTCCCTGAATCCAGGCCCAGAATCTGTCTGATGGTAATCCCAGTGGAAAACATCTGCACAAATGCAGCTGTTTTGCTCTTTCCAACCCCAGCCCCAACCCCAGTGTGAAGACCCAGAGCTGGTCAGGAATGCAGTGGAGAAATGGTTTCTCTTTAAAGCAGGAGGTGCTGGCCTGAAAGCATCACACAGACTCCTAGAGACTAGAGTCCTGTGTTCACATGCAGAGGCTCACATGCCAAGCCTGACTGGTCCGGATTCTGTGTTCTTCCTATGTGAATGAATGAGTTAAAGCAGCCTCCTGCCAGACCCAGGGTCTCCTAGTGTTTGTCCCCAGATGATGCATCCCTGGTCCCAACTGTTGTGTTTTACAATGATCTTCATTCCACAGCCTAAGTTTGTGTGAAGCCAGAGCATAGCTTCAGTACAGCTGCCCCCCTTCCTGCAGGTGCCTGAATGCAGCCAGCAGTGAAGCTGCCCACATTCCATGTGTGGTTGTATAGACACTCCTGTGATACAGTTAATTAATCAATCAGACAGGTTAAGAAGTGAACAACTTCACAGAGCAGGACCATCGCCATGACTGGCTGTTGTGTGCTCACACTTTGGTGATGAGAGATGACCATGAGCTGAGGAGAGGAGGGAGATGGATAGTGCATGGTGTGGGACAGTGGTCTGAAAACTGAGGTGGCCTCTAAGTACCTCAGCCCTGTGCAGTGTGGACAGGGTGGACACTGACAGAGGATGGTTCTGTGTCAGGTGGCATCGACCAGCAGGACAGAGATTTGATTCCATTAGGCAGAGAGATCAAAATGTAAAATCTAATGTTATTTCTATCAGTAATGTCTGTTATTTTCAGACCTCAGTTAAACAAAGGTCACTAGCACCATAGAAAGTGAGCTCACCAGAGACACAGGGCTTATCCAGAATATAGACTTCTTGGATTCACAATCAGGATGATCAGAATCCTCACCCATCTTCCTGAAGTCACTCTATGGTGTCACTTTTAACCAATATGGCTTCCCTTGTTTTCCTGCTATTTCTGTCCTCAACTCCTACCTTCTCCTGAAAGCCCATGATCTCAAACCACAAACTCAGCCCTTGGAGAAGATGCTGACATTTCTCACCCTGACTCCTGACCACGTAGGCTGCACTTTCTCAGCCGCTGCCCTTATGGACCCAGTTAACAATTTCCTCCAAAGTTATTTTTTATTGTTGTTTTTATTTTTTGTTTATGTAGTTACTCATTTATTTTTGAGATAAGGTCTCACTATGTGGCCTTAGCTGACCTGGAACTCTCTATGGAGCCTAAGCTGGCCTGGATCCTGCTTGCTGCTGCCTCCTCCATTTGGCATAAAAGGTCCATTTTCTGTGGAACCCCTGTCAGGGTGGACCTGTGCCTTCTAACATTCTCATGGCTGCAAGTACACAAATGTCCTTTCTCACCTCCTCTCGCTTGCCGGGGGAGAGTGCAGTCTTGCCAAAGGTAGGGTTTGTGGACCAAACCCCAATTTGTATTAAGGCCACAGGAAGTCCATTCTGTGGGTATTTTCATCATGCCAGCCACACTCCTGTGGGACAAAAGAACCTCCCTCAGACCCTCCAATCCCAAGGTCACACACAGTGCCTCAGGCAAGTGCCCTTGTCAGGTCTGAAAAAACACTAATAAAAGTGTCCATTCAATCAACCAGAATACCTCCTTGTCCTGCCCCTCCCCCCTCCTGGAGAAGACTGTCCCTCCTCTCACCAAGTCCTTCACAGTCCTCTCTGCAGTCACAATGGGGGGAGGTCCTAATGGGCTCCTCAAGGGTTCCATCTGCACTAGGGAATAACAGTCCTGGCACCTCAGTGCCAGATTCCTGCCTGTTGATATTTCCTTCATACTACAACTTCCTCACTTCTCAGTGTGACTTCTTGCACTGTCCCTGATTCCTTAGGAGTATTCTTCCTGTGTGGATGTAATGCCTTGTCTTCTGAGATGTGGGAAGATATTTCCACCACTGTGCTAATAAGTCCTGATCTCTAACTTCCCTGGAACAACCAACTTCCTGCTTTCATTTTTGAGGTGTCCCCCCCCCCCCCCCCCGCAGAGTTTCTCTGTGTAGCTTTGCACCTTTCCTGGATCTCACTCTGTAGCCCAGGCTGGCCTCAAACTCACAAAGATCCTCCTGCCTCTGCCTCCCAAGTGCTGGGATGAAAGGTGTGCGCCACTGCCCGGCCATTTTTGAGATATTAAGAGTTGTTCATCTATACTCCTTTTTTTTTTAATATTTATTTGTTATGTATACAGTGTTCTGTCTACATATATGCCTACAGGCCAGAAGAGGGCCCAGATCTCATTACAGATGGCAGTAAGCCACCACATGGTTGCTGGGAATTGAACTCTAGCCCTCTGGAAGAGCAGCCAGTGTTCTTACCCTCTGAGCCATCTCTCCGTCTATACTCCTCTTAATCTTCTTATACTTATATAAGCTCATGCATGGTCCCAAGCCTGAGCATGCTCGCGCACACTAACACACACAGACATACACACACACACACACACACACACACATCCTTGCTGTCAGCATGGCATTGCTGGCTTTCCTTTCTAGCCTCATTGTTCCCTGTGGTCTATGACTCTGTGAGCATGGCTGTTTCTTTCCTCTGAATACCTAGCAAAGGTCACATGATGGTTCCCATTGCTGCTCGTTTTTATTCTCATTTTCCCAGGATGGATTTGGTTGCTGCCTGGAATACACCCAGAAAACTCTGTCACTTTCAAGGCATCTCTACAGTCCCCATCAACACAGATGTCTGAGGCCAGCCTGGGATTCCTCCTCAGAATCCAAGTCCACACCTGGATTTGACGCTCTAATTTCTGGTGGCTTGCTCACTGCACAGATTACTATGCAAACTCAAGACCTCAGAAGCCCCAGACTACTGCTTTGAATACTAGGGAAAGAATGTAAAGAACCCCAGGGGAGTTCAGCATCTCACTCAGGCAGTGTTGGATTGCCAGGTGCTGCAGGAAGCAGCAGTGTTGGTTCACTTGCAGAACAAAGAAAATCCATGTCCTGGTAAGGGCTGAGGGGACTGACTCCTGAGGAACTGTTTGCTTCTTCCCTGCACTGTCTTCAGAGGTGGCAACCGGCCAGCCACCTTCCTCCCTCTTCAGCACTTACTTTTACAGTCTGCAGAGCTGCTGAGCATGAAGACACTGTGGTCACACCAACAGGCCACCTCTCACACAGGAACCTCTCTCTGGATTCCCTGGTGTTCAAACTTCACTCCAAGGCCCAGAGCCAGCTCAGGGCAGCCTCATGGACCACAACAGGCAGAGCAGCCATGGGCTCCCCTGGGCAACTGGGGTGGTTGAGAGCTGGGAGCTGGGTGAGCAAAGGCACCACGGGCAGCCAGGATGAAGAGAGTGAAGTCCTCCCTGCTGTCATCTGTGACCTGAGCTTCTGAGTCCTTGTCCTCCTCTGGGACAGCTACAGGCATCAGAGTCTGCTGGGCTCCCGGGTGTCCACAGCCAGCTCCTGCAGCTGGATGCACTGGTGAGACTCAGCACCCTGCATACTGCACTGCACAAGGTGGGCTGTTCATGGCCTTTTGTTGGATTGGTGGCTCTCCTGAAGCTGTGTAGGAGCTAAAGATGCCTGCAGGCCTGCCATGGAGTCTCAGGGACATCTCTCTCTCACTTGCTGAAATTGTAGGGACCCAGAGCTGGAAATCTAGTGAGGGTGAACTCAGCAGAGGTTCTTACTGGAGGAGCAGCCTGAGGTCCCCCAGGTCTACAGTAAACTGAATCCAAGGTGTTGGGAGAAGTGTCCTCTGGTTTGGGTCTCATACAATCCAGGGAATGGAGACCCTCAGCTCCCTGGATTGTGCTCCTGGCTGTGGTGAACTCCTTCCTGTAGTGCAGTGGGCCACAAGAATATATTATAGAGATTCAGCTGTATATAAGAAGTTATACCTTCATTGTCCAAGGAGTCCTTTAAGAGGAAGCCATTTATCAAGGAATATTTGATGTTATTTAGCTTCAAATATATATCTGCCATCTTCTGCTATGAAATTCTTGTGTGCCCATATCCTACTAGGCCATATAGCAAACAGTTAAGCTCCTCAGACTTACTGCTGATCTACTAGGTAACAGACCTGCAGAGCCTAGAAGACAGACTATAGATGCATAGCTTTGTTTCTGTGCAAATGAAGCTCAGACCATCCCTTTCCTTTAGGCCTAGTAGCACTGCAGAGCTATTGACTCAGGACAAAAGGGCTTTTTGAATAACCAGGTGCATTAAAGACTGGAGCAGAATTCCTGGGTCAGGCAGAGCCAGTGGCCACAGAGAAGAGAGGAGGCAGAGTTTCTCAGAGCCAGGAGAAAGGAGCAAGGGAGGAGAGATGGAAGAGGAAGGAACAGAGGATAAAGATGAGATTGAAAGCATAGGAGCTTAGTTAGGACTCTGAGAAGACAGGAAAAGTAGGTACAGAGGAGCTGAATGTGAGGACAGAGATGAAGTTGTATCAATGGAATTTTGTCTTAGAGACATAAAGTAAAGAGATGGAAGAGCATGGTGCACATAGATTCTTTTCCCTCAGATAACCCCAGATTAGACATAGCATCTTCCCCAGGACCCTGGGAGGAATCTTCTCAGGGCAGGCCTCTGGTAAATTCCCAACTGTAGTAGGCAGTTCAGGTGGTCTTGATCCTCTCTGGCTGTGAGGTGCAGGCTAGCAAAATGTGGGGCAAGTTGAAGCCACAGTGGCAGGTGGGGATGTGGGGTGGGGGCTGGTGCACCTGCCTTGGCAGCTCCTGCATCCGGTCCACGAGGTGGCACTGGATGCAGGTGGTGATGCCAGAGCACACCGGGCAACTCAGAATGGAGTTCTGGTTGATCTGCAGGGTGAGTGCCAGTGTGGGGTCATCTCCTGGCAGGGAGGAGGGTAGGTGTTGCCTCAGAGCAGCCCTGTTACACAGGACCAGGAGACCTTGGTGACAAGTCCCCAAGAGCCACAAAGAGCAAGATCCCAGTGACTCTGAGGCTCTCCATCATGTGGTGGTGTTGCTGGCCTCATTGTGTGTGTTTGCTGCATTGAGAAGATCCAGAGCTCCAAAATGAGAATTCCAGGCACAGCTTGTCTCCTCCCACCTGGAAACAGGAGGCTGTCTCCTCTCCAGTTCAATCCCAGAATTCTGTGCCCAGGTCTGACTGTATGAAGCAGCTTCAGAGTCCAGGGCTTCTGGTTGGCCTGCCAGTCCAGCACCAAGGACCTCTCAGCTCCTGTGAGCTCACAAACTCAGAGCTAACTGTGCCCTGCTGCTGATGATCTGTGTGCTTGTGGATCCCGGGTCTCACCTGGTACAGGTCACTCAGTTTTTCCTCTCTGGATGACTTTTTGGTGCATGACTAAAGCAGGAGTCTTGCTCCAGGGCCCTAAGCCCCAGGCCTGAAGGTCTAAGTGTCAGGTGGTGGGACACACCATGCAGGTCCCCTCACAGTCCCCTGCCCAGCCTGTCCCCAGTGCTAGTAGCCAAGCATGCCCCTTGTGAGCCTCCAGGAGGAATGTTCAGATTGGGGTTCTGGTGGGAAGGAGCAGGATCTAAGAAATGTGAATTGTCACAGTGAAGGCAAAAACCTGAGGGTGGGCTCTGGGACCCAAGGATGGTCCTGGGGCTGCACTGCATCTCCTCCCCCTCCTGGGGTCTGGTCTGCCCCAGGCCTCTCAGTCTCCTGAGGTTTTCCCTGCAGATGTTTTGTCTTTGGCTGGATGAGCTGTATTTGGTGCACCAAGAGGTCTCTGGATTAGGTGGCTCCTTTGCAGGTCAGCAAGCCCTTTGTTCAGGCTCCTTTTTAACTACTGAATGAATCATGACGTTGTGTTTATTTGTGGGCTCTCCTGTGATGGTTCACACCCACATACATGGTATAACATCTGAATGGGAATAAACACATCTCCTCAGAGGCATGTGGTTTCTTTGTTGAAAATGTTTAGGATCTTGCCAACCAGCTCTCTGAAAGCTATAGCCTATTGTGGCTTTCTAGTTACCCCATCTGCAGCTGCCCCTCACCTCCTCACCTCTACCTAACTGTAGCTATTTCTCAGGCCCCCTCACTGCCATTGTCCCTTCCCAATCCGAGGTTGCGTCTGAGAGTCTTCATACTCAAGTCCCAATTAGTATCCAAAAGGAAGTCAAGGTGTGAGCCCTCTGCAAGATTTCCTGTGGTTGCAGTGACTTTTTTTTTTGCTGTTTGTTTGTTTTGTTTTTATTTTGAGACAGGATCTGTCTATGTAACTCTGGCTGTTCTGGAACCCATTATGAGCAGACTGGCCTAGAAATTAGAGATTCACCTGCCTGTGCCTCCCATGTGCTGGGATTTAAGGTGTGCAATGGCGTTCTTACAGCTTTGCTCTCAGAGCAGCAAGAGGAGCCTCTTTCCCCACCCACCCAGGGCAGTGTCCTGGACCCTGAGCCCCTGGCTGTCACCCTTGGGCCCCAAGGTAGGACACCAGCACCATCTGAATAGAAACAGGCCTGGTCCTTCCCAGAAACTAGGGAGGAGAGGCACAGCCTGGAGGGCCCAGGTTGACCTGCCACCGCTGCCCTGGTTGCTCATAATCCTGGACACAGGTCCTGGCCTGGCAACGTTAGATCACAGGCTGTGTCAGCATGTGGTCCTACAACAGATGTGGAGACCAGATCCAGGAGGTGGGATGGTCTCTATATCAAATCTGTTGCTCTGATTGGTCAATAAATAAAACACTGATTGGCCAGTGGCCAGGCAGGAGGAAGTATAGGCAGGACAAGGAGGAGAAGAATTCTGGGAAGTGGAAGGCTGAGTCAGAGAAACTGCCAGCCGCCACCATGATAAGCTGCATGTGAAGACACTGGTAAGCCACAAGCCATGTGGCAAGGTATAGATTTATGGAAATGGATCAATTTAAGCTATAAGAACAGTTAGAAAGAAGCCTGCCATGACCATACAGTTTGTAAGCAAGATAAGCCTGTGTGTTTACTTGGTTGGGTCTGAGCAGCTGTGGGACTGGAGGGTGACAGAGATTTGTCCTGACTGTGGGCAAGGCAGGAAAACTCTAGCTACAAGGTGACAGAGCTGAGGAGCGACCACATCAAAGCCCACCCCTTATGAGACACATCTGGGCACAGCACTGTTTATGCTCAGCTCCCACATCTGCATCTTGTCCTGTTGTTCGAAATTCTTAAATGGTCTTTTAATTAAAAAACAAACAAAACCTGAACCAGATATTGAGGTAAAAGCTGAAGATCAGAGAAGCAGAGCAAGCTATAGCCATGTCTCACCTCACCAGCTCCAGGAATCCTCTGACTGAAATCCTCCCAGTCCTCACCTGAATGGGTCTCAACTGAACTGCTTTTGGTTTCTATCTCCTCACACCTTATATATTGTTCTCTGTCCAGCAATGCCACTTCCTGGGATTAAAGGCCTGTGTGCTTCCCAGTACAGGGATTAAAGGTGTGTGCCACCTCTGGCTCTGTTTCTCTCCTAAGCTGGATCAGCTCATGTAGCTCAGTGTGACCTTGAACTCCCAGAGATCCAGATGGATCTCTGCCTCCAGTGTTATAGAATTAAAAATGTATGCCACCACTGCTTGACCTCTATGTCTAATCTAGTGGCTGGCTCTGTCCTCTGATTATCAGGCAAATTTATTAGGGTATACAATGTATCACCACAATGTCCAGCTGGATATTCACAGCTCGAGGAACACAGATTCCAGAAGGTTCTCCATGCTGCTAGTTATTTCCTTTATAAAAATTTAATAATTCACTGTTTCATTTACCCACCAATCAAACATCAGGTGAAGAACTTGAACAATGAAGTTCATGTAGAGACACTTATTTTCAGTGGGGAAGTCATGTCTGCAGCTCAGGGCAGCATGGAGCTGATTGGATGGAGATGTTCCCTCCTGTTTGCTGAATTAGGGAGGTTGGCTGTGGAAGGAAACACAGGGTGGTGTGGTGAGAGCGTCCGAGTGAGCAGGGGCTGCACATTGAGCCCATAAGATCACAGGGAACTGCAGACAGTCTTGCCTAAAAATAACTGAGGGGCTCAGGCATCACAGCAGAGCCCTGAGCAGATCATATGTCACTCAGTATAGACCAGACAGATGGATTTATGCTACAGAACAAGAGTCATGAACTATCACTGTGAAGACAACATCCCAACCATCCACCACTCACTCACAGGACCACATTCTCAGAGTTGCTGTGAACCATTCACATCCCCTTTTTCCCTCCCCCATTCGATCCTCAGTGTGTCTTTATCTCAGTCTGTTGGTCAGGGCTCTAGGGTAAAAAATGAACAAGATTTCAGAGGATTTGTCTGCAGGAGGAATTATGGTCTGGCTGAGCTTCTCACCAGCTCCTGCTCCAACCAAAGACCTCAGGGACAAACCTTACCCAAACCTACCTGCAGCCTGAGCATAGTGCACAGTGATTCCACATGTGAGAAATAAAGCTATGAGACTAGGGAAGCTCTGAACCCCAGGAAGTTTCCAGAACTGACAGCAGACCAGGGAAGAGTCAGGAGACATGAGCAAGGAGGTATGAAGGGTATGAACCCATTTCCAACCTGTGAGTCCTCAGCAGGGGCATTCTCCTCTCACTTAAGCTCTCTGACCACTGAGAATGATGTCCCCATCACTTCCACCATGAGGGTTAGGAATCTATGCTTCATTTTCCCAATGCTTTACAGTAAGGTGACTGTTAGCACACAGACCCAGAGATGGGCAGAGTTGCACATGTGTGTATGTGAGTGAGTGTCTTCCTATTCAACCTGCACCTTTCTTGAAGGTGCTGAATAAAAAACAATACAAAACAAAAAAATGGCCCAGACCCTGCCCTTCCATACCTGTGTTCTTCCTCATCCACATCATAACACCTCCAATGATAAAACCTAAGATCACTACAGCTCCAAGGACAGCACCAACCATGGTCATAATGGGGAAGGACTGAGGAGTCTCTAGGGAAGGAAGGGAAAGGAAGGGAAGGTGAGGGTCATGGTTCCAGCTCTCAGGCCTGACTCTGCCCAGGGTCTGTAGAAGGCTCCAGCTATCTGAGTCCCATTTGTACCCAAAGCTCTACTTACCCCATCTCAGGGTGAGGGGCTCAGGAAGACCCTCATGCTGCACATGGCATGTGTATTTCAACTCTTCTCCTAAAGGCACCACCACAGCTGCCCACTTCTGGAAGCTTCCATCCCCTGCAGGTCTGGTTTCCACCAGTTCCATTTCCTGTGTCTGTTCTTCCTCATCTCTCTTCCAGGTCAGGGTGATGTCAGCAGGGTAGAAACCCTGGGCCCAGCACCTGAGTGTGACATCACCTTGAGATCTGAGTTGATGGGTCACATGTGTCTCTGGTGGATCTGAGGGGAAGAGAAGGAAACTTGAGGTGTTAGGCATTCTTCCTGGGGACTCTAGCAGGGTCCATGAGACCAACATGGGAAGGACCAGAAATGTTGTGATGGAGGCCTGAAAATCTCCTGTGGCATAGATATAGGGTCCTGGATAATCTCATCTTTGGCAAATTGTAGATATGGGTGAAAGGGCCCAGGGTCAGTGAAATCTAGGTGTCATATCAGGAAAAATGGACTTCTCTCCTGACTGGGTGAGGCTGAGGGATCCAGTATCACTGATGTCATACTCCAGAGACCTTGATTGTGGACAGAGAGAACTGGACCTGAGCAAGGCTGTGTCCCACACAGGTCTTCAGACTGATAGTTAACTGCTTTGGTCATTTCAGGGACTTTCTCCTCTTTCTTGCTGAAACACACTCTGAACTGTCCTGACAGAAGTGTGACCCTGGGAGAGTCAGTCCCTGAAAAAGGGTCAGGACAAGCCATAGCACTTTTCACCTCCCACATGGGAACGATTGGGAGAGAAGGGAATATTATGTTATAAGCAGAGACACCCAGAGTTTCCTCTAAAGCCAGGATGGAGACAAAGGTGTACACTTTCCTCCATCTTATTTGATACAGTGATGATTTTTTATAAACTATCAGGATTAGACAGAAGATAGGCTTAAAGAAGATCCTAATAGGAAAGGAAGAAGTCACTTTGTCTCTATTTCCAAATAGCATGTTTCTTTACTTAAAAGACCCTGTTGAGTTCACAGGAACATTCTTGGACCTAATAAACATTTATAGTTGCAAAATACATAAATTAATGTAAAAAAATAGGCTTCATTTTTGCCAGCAGTATATTTTTATAAAAAGTGATTGCAGAATGTACAACATTCAATGTCATTCCACCAGAATCAAGGGTTTAGAGATATATCTAACCAAGGAAATGGAAGAACTTTACAATGAAACTTCACGATAGTGACACAGGAAACCACAGAAGAGAACGTTAGAGGATGGAAAGACAATCCATGCCCTGGACTGGCAGAGTTAATGCTGTGACAATGGCCACACTACACACATTATTATATAGATTTAAAGCAATATTCCCCAAACCAATGTATGTCATAGCTTTAGGAAAAAGACAAGAATCTGTACAGATGACAAACAATGTTCAGGTGTTACAATCCCAACTTCCAATTATACTAGAGCTATAGTCACAAAGATGGCCTGGAACTGACATAAAACAGACAGGACAATAAGGCATAGGACAGAGATCCTGTAAACAAGATGACAAAGCTATGCAAGCTTAATTTAGACAAAGAATGCTAAAAACAAGTTGGACAAAAGATTCCATTCTACACATGATGCTGCAACACTGTTTTTCTGCCTGAGAAGATGAATTTAGGTTCTCACCTTTCACCTTGTACAAAAGTAAACTTGAAACAGAGCGAAGACCTTATTAAGTTCAAACTTGAATCACCCAAACCTCAAGAAGACAAGCTAGGGAAAACCCTTCCAGATCCTGGGGTAGACAAGAGCATCAGAATAGGGCAACAACACCACAGGAACTAATAAGGCCATGCATCAGCATGAAAATAAAGTCTCTTCACAGCACAGGACACAGTCAGCAGAGTGACCAGAAGCCTCAACAGGAGGAAACTTGTACCAGCTGCAGACAAGGGACTAGAGTCCTCAGTTTACAGAGAACTGCAGAAACTACATACCAAGGATTTAACAATGTCAATCAACTCATGGGGAGAGTACCGAATAAACAGTTATCCTAATAAAAGAGAAAACCACAAATAGCCAGTATTCTTAGTGTGTTCAGTACCTCTAGCCTTCATAAAAATGCAGATTAAATCTACTTTAGGGGGCTGGAGAGTTGGGTCAGAGGTTAAGAGGACTTGATGCTCTGGCAGGGGACCTGGGTTAGATGCCCTGTATGTAACTCCAGTCCCAGGGGATCTGACACCCTCTTCTGACCCCAGACACCAGGCACACACGTGGTGCACATCCACACATGCAGGCAAGACTCTCATCCACATAAAAGAATGAAATAAAATGAAAATTAAAACTGCTGAGATAGCCCTTCACCCCAGTGACCAACAAATTTGACAGAAAGAAAATGCTGGAGGGGATGTGGAGAGGGGAAACACTCACTGCTGAAGGGTTTCAACTTAATACAGTCATCGTGGAAATCATATTGGACATTTCTTTAAAAAATTAAAAATAGAACTACCATATGACCCAGCTTTTTTATTCCTGGGTAGAAGTCCACGTCCTACGGTGAGATATTTACACCCCATGGTTATTGTTGATTTATTCACTAGAGTAAAGTATTCGATTTACTCCATCAACAGATGAGCAGAGAATGGGAATTTGGTACACATATAAAATGGAATACTATTGGGCTCTAAACAATGTCATCACAACATGTATACTATTAAGAGAGGTCACACAATTTCAGAAAGAAAAACTACATTGTTTTTCCTCATATGGGGGATATAGCCAACCACATATGAATATATGTCAACAAGTGTAGATATGTGTATACTCTAACAGGACCAAAAAAGAACAAGAAATGCTAAATACTGGGGATGAGAAAGGAGTGAATGCAGGTAATGGACTTGAGTTATGAAGCAGGTTATAAAGCTAATTGTTTTCTAGTTCTATCTCTGTCATGGATTTTCTTTCTTCCATTTTCCTTCTTTTTGCCTGTTGGTGTCCGATAAGTGCATGAATTATATTGATATCGAATGTGTAAAATCCAAAGTGAGTCTGCACAAGTTCATGGCTCCTCTAACTGTAGAGAAATTCACTAAGGTGTATAGCCTTTGTTCTGTATAATTTCAGCGTGTGTCTTTTTTTGTAATAAAGTTTTAAAAAAATTAAAACCAAGAAGAGACAGGGGCATGACCCCAGCTGCGGGGTTTTTTTCTTCCTCAGGTCTGAGCCCAGCCCAGGGCAGAGGGAAGAGCTGCCCGCGGCCCTGCACCTGTGCGCTGCAGCGTGTCCTTTCCTATCTCCAGGAGTCTGCCGAGCAACGCCACGCACTCGCCCTCCAGGAAGGCCCTGTCTCTCTCTGCTGCACCAGCCTGCTCCCACTTGCGCCGGGTGATCTGCGCCGCCTTGTCCGCCGCCGTCCACGTCGTCAGGTCGTCGTTCAGGGCGATGTAATCGCGGCCGTCGTAGGCGAACTGACTGTACCCGCGAAGGAGGCGCCCGTCCGACCCCACCACACAGCCGGACATCCACTGGAAAGTGTGAGAGTCTGTGGGGACCCTGCGGTCAGCTTCGCCCACCTTCCCGCCTCGGGGTCAACCGGGGCCCGGCCCACCCGCGGACTCCCCTAAACTGTAAGTGAAAGTAGGTTCCGGTTGGAGGCTCTATGGTCCAGAGTATCTGAGGCTCCCACATTTCGGAAGATCCTCAGACTTGGGACACGGAGCGATTCCGGTAGGTATAAAGGGACGTGGAGGGGTCGTGACTTCCGACCCGCGGTCACTGACCGCTTTTGCTCTGGTTGTAGTAGCGGAGCGCGGTCCTCAGGTTCACTCGGAAAGTCTGCTCGATGTTCTTGGCTCTCTGTGTCTGCTCCTCCCAATACTCCGGTCCGACCTGCTCCACCCACGGCGTCCGCGGCTCCAGTCTCGGAGTCTCCGCGTCGCTGTCGAAGCACGCTAACTGCGTGTCGTCCACGTAGGCGACGATGATGAACCGGGGCTCCCCGAGGCCAGGCCGGGACACGATGGTGGAGAAATACCGCAGCGAGTGCGAGCCTGGGGCGGCGCGCGGTCAGACCCCGACCCTCCTCCCGGGACCCCGGGCGGGTGCGCGGCCCGGGAGGGGAGCAGGGCGCGGGGCTCGGGACGCGGTGGAGAAGGGCGGGAGGGTCTGGCTGGGCGACGCTGGGACGGGGCTTCCCCGGGGGCCGCAGAGTCGTTTCCCTCCCGACCCGGCACTCACCCGCGCGGGTCCGGGTCGGGGCCAGGGCGGCCGCCAGCAGCAGGAGCAGCATGTGTCTGGCCATCTTCCCCATCTCAGATCTGGGGCGTCTGAATTGTAGGCGGTGGTGCTGGTGGTTGGAATTTCTATCCAGCAGCCATGAACAAGGACGCTGTTGATTACTCAAGATCTGGACACCCAATGTGGGTGAGAACAGGAAACTTGTCATCAGTGTCCTGGAAGAAGGACCTGACACAGGAGCTGGAGAACTGAAACTGGGGTCCAGGGGAATCCCCAGTTCTGGGCTTCCCCATACCCGATCTCCCCTGGGGAGAAAGACTTCGCTGAAAACACTCAAAATTGTAATAAAAAGATATGAATACTTCGTTCATTAGAGCTGGGGTCATCTGAGATTTGGCTTCCACACATGGCAGCTGAAAGGGCTCAGATTCCTGCTGACTGTCCCAGGATTCCTCTTCTAGAACTCAGGGTCTCTTTTGAGACTGCAATGGACACAGCAGCTGACTTCCTCAGAGTCAGAAGTGAGAGAGAGAG